AACGTTTTGGCACTGATGAATTCTTTGTACAACAAAGCAGGGGATGAGGAAAGAAATGAGATTATCAAGGTAAATATGCTTTTTATTATAAGAGTAGCGTTTTTTGGAGAGCCTGTGCGTTTTTTGATGACTAACTTTATTTGAGCTTTCTCATTTGCATACAGCAAGTTCAAAAGGACCGTTAATGTTCTCGTATTTTCCTTTATTAATTATGCGTTTTGTGCTGTTGCACAGCACAAAACGCATAATTCTGTCGGGAACCACAAAAGCTAGGAAGCTGAAGATTTGGGGGGACGTTCCCCACCTACGCGCAACCCCGCAAATTTAAATTCAGCCTCCCCGTATCCGCGAGTAACACATACGGCCTTGTAAAAATTTTGGCTGGAAACATTATTATCTCGGGAACCACGGAATCTAGGGAGCTAAAATTTTATGGGTATACCTACTGCCCACGTGGGGTCCAGAAAGTTAAATTCAGCCTTCCCGTTTTTTCGGGTAACATATGCGGCCCCGTGAAACTTTTGGCGGGTAAATTATTATCTTGGGAACAACTGAATATACGAAGCTGAAATTTTAGTGTAATAACCTCCTACCCACGCTCGACCTTGCCTATTCAAATTCAACGTTCCCACGCCTTCGGGTATCACCTACGGTCCCGTGAAAGTTTTTGGCGGGTAAATTATTATTTTGGGAACCACAGAATCCAGGGAGATGAAATTTTATGGACATCTTCCTTGCTCACGCGTAATCTAGAAAATTTAAATTCAGCTCCTCCGTGCCCCCGGGCGACATATACGGTCCCGTGAAACACGGAATCCAGGAGGCTAAAATTTTGGAGTAACGATCCCCTACCGACGTACGATCTCGCAAATTCAAATTCAGCGTTCTTACGCTGTTGGGTACCACCTACGGCCACGTGAAAATTTTGGTGCGAAAATTATTATTTCGGGAACCATAAAAGCCAGGAAGCTAAATTTTATGGCAATGTCTTCTGTCCACATACAATCCTGCAATTTTAAATTCAGCTCCTAGCGCGTCCGAGTATCAATTACAGCCCTATGAAAGTTTCGGCGAGGCAGTGAAAATCATTAGCAGGCAATCGTTCGGTGAACGGAATTGCACAAAACGCATGATCTCACCGGCTGCCTTGGTGCGCGCCGCTATTTATTTTTTCTCAGAAACGAATTATTTTTTTTGTTTATTTCATTTTTACTGTTTGTTTTTCGCAACTTAGCAACTACATGCGACACCGTTCCGTTGTGCAGTCGAGAAATCGGTGTTGAGGAAAGGAAATCAGCTTGACGTTGGCATCGAACAGCAGCTTGTTACTGTACAACGGATACAACTTAACGAACTCTCACAAAAAGCAATGCGTATTCCTACAGAAGCTGAAATTGAGCGTTTTTCTGTAAGTTTTCCTATCACTAGTACTTGAATGTCTCTGGATCGGGACAGTATACTTTTTTGTCTTCCTAGTTAGTGCACATTTCTCAGTCATGTGCATTTTACTTTGTACTACAATTAGCAAAGCATTTTTAGTACTTTTTTCGTGAAAATGTCTGTAATTTAGCAGCTGAAAGTCTTCAACGGAGAAAGTAGCAAAGCAGAAGAAAAGCGCGCAGAATTCCTGAGTTTTAGAGAAGCTGTGGTAAAAACACCACCGGGCTCATTGGCACTGGAAACGATCTTGTCGTTTGGTACGCGCCATGCTGATACCATTGCAAAGGTTGGCTCTGTTCTGAAAAGAAAAATTTTCGAAGACTTATTCGCGCATAAGAATAATAATTTGATTTTTCGCAAATTTTCATCTAGTATTTTTACACGATCTTATTGTTGCAACAGTTGCACAAAACCCATAATGTCGAGAGCTTACGTTTAAGTGTGTATGTATTTGTGTATGTTTGCATATGTGTGTAAGTGTTGAGAATGTATTTTGTCCAAAATTTCAACTTAGAGGCCAAGAAGAACTCGAAGGCTGAAGTCTTAGTAGGCCATTCCATGGTCGTATACGATAATGCAAGCTTAGATTCACTCCTTACGTACGCATAAATTACGGACATATGAAAGTTCTATAGAAGAATCACCAACTCGAGATCCCGAAAAGCTAGGAAGCAGAAATTTTGAGGAGATGTTTTCTGGCCACGTACAAATATAAAAGTTTAAGCTCATCTTTCATGTGCGTCCAGATCTCACGCGGATATACGGAAGTTTTGGCGGGGAACTTCTTGCCTGAGGTTCGTGTCGTTTTACGCCTTATTTGCGGATATGAGGAATTTCACATGGAAATTTTAAATTCAGGAGCCAGAGAAGATAGAAGCTGAAATTTTCAGATGTTTTTTCCTTGTGATATCCTACGAATTTAAACTCGGCCCTCACTTACCTTTAGTTTTCACGAGTACGGGAAATTTCGTATTTCAGGAAAAAGATAACATTTGAACTATTTTTGCACATACCAAACTGTAAAGCAGTGAATATTCTTAACAGCGAGCGTCTTCTGTATAGAATAGCGTAAAGCGCGTGATCGCAAAAGCTACTCTGGTGAGCGTCACTATTTATTATAGCATATCTCTGTCTAGCATCAGACAACTTAAAACTATGAACTAGAGATCCTGGTTGAAATCCTTCTTGCTTCGCTAGCACACATTTCTTCTCCAGTACTAATTGTTCGAGCAGTCCTGATAATCGTGACAGTTTTTCTTGCTTGGGAGATGACGTTTGTAATAGTAAAGTGCCTCATTTGCATAATTTTTCCGCTCACTTTTTATTTCGTTTGGCAAAACAATAAGGCATATTTTTAAAACGATAATTAAAGTGTAAAATGATAATTTTTTTGTAAAACGTGATGCATTTTTTTTTTTTTTGTTGAATTGTCAGCATTTTTAGATATCACTGGAAAATTCGATGAGATCTGATCATAAACCTTGGTCGTTTACGGTGGTTTCAGCTCATTTGGTGCAGATGCTGATTGACATTCTTCATATTATTAATGAACCAGGTATCCTGTCTTTTTTTTTTGCTTTAGAACAGAGAAGCTTAAGCACAATGGAAGCGCATTTTTTTACAGAAGGAGAAAGGTTGATGGTTTTGTTATTCAAAAGCGATCGACCATTTCTGGATCTGTTTGCGGTATTGGTGAGACTTTTCCATCGAACATGGCGTGAAATGCACGCAAGTGATGAGGATATCAAAAAGGTGGGGAGGTTTAAGTTGCTCGTAATTTCCTTCAGGAATTTTTTAAAGCATTCTAAAAAGTTTGATAAATGTGAACTTCACTGAAATCGTCAAAAAACTGCTGTTCACATATTTTTCAAATTCAGGTTTTGGCTGTTGTCAGAAAGCAAATGGATGTCTGTTTGCTGGAAAAACCTGAGAGTATTGAAAAATTAGAAGAATTGCTAGCTGTGCATTCATATCCGCATATGAAGAAATTGTGGGAAGATGAAAGGAGCGCAAAGGAAGCGGAAGAATTGCAAAGCGACGCTGTTAAGTAATGTTAAAATGCATTGATTTCTGTCTAGTTATATTTTTGCTTTATTCCATTCATTTATAAACAAATTTTATTGATTAATTTATTCGTTACTTCAATCCAATCTTTTTTTTTTGGGGTGAAGTGGCCCTTTTTGGCGTGGCGTCAATTAAGCTTTCACTGCTTTTGCTTTTAGGGAGTTACGCGAGTATCTCCGACCAAGTATCGTGGAACTCATATTGAAAAACCGCAAAAATACACTAAAAAACGGCTACACGTTTGGAAAATTGGCAAAAAGCAAATCACTGCAAAAAGGTAATTTTGTTTATCCACGGACTTATTCTTTTTATGGATTTTTGCATCTATGCAGTGCAAAAACGCATATTTCCGAGGAGTTGTCTATGTATTTATGTGTCTGTGTGTGCCTGTACCGGGTTCTTCAGACCTTCCTTGTCACCCTTTTTGAAAAGTATAGCTGAAACTTTGGGAACTTGATCTAAACACCTGTATGCGCTTCTACTCCCAAAACATACACTCTCGCCCACGTAATCCCCACTACGGCCCGTTGAAGTTTTTGGCGGATGAGCTGCTAATTCTTAAACCAGAAAAACTGGAAGACTGAAATTTTAAGGGGATGATCGCCGTCCACGTGGAGCTTGATGATTTCAAACTGGTTTCCACTTACAGACCCGTGAAAACTTCTGGCGAATAGGTTTCTAGAGAAGCTGAAATTTTAAGGGGATGTTTTCTGACATTTGCGGTGGCCAAACACAATTCTTTTAGCTAGAAGCATCTACCAGAAAAACCAGTGTCATTAGCGACAAAAACCTACGGGGAACTGCGAAAAACTCATCTTCGCACTGGCAGCCGGTTATTTGTTTTTAAAATTTGTAAAGATTGAGTTTTTTGATTCTTTTAGCACAGCAGTTTTGGTTTTGGAAATTGGATGCTAATGAGAAAACGTTAATTTGTTCGGATTGTGCGAATTCCGAGGTTTCCTCAAATGCCAGTTCTGCAGCAAATTTGAAAAGTAATACTTTTATTTTATTCACTTCAAGTTTTCAAAGTTGTATATGGTCTCTTACGTTACATATTGTCTTGTTCAGTTGCTGTGGCAGACATACAGCGCGTAATAGCCGGTGGCGAAGGAGATTTTCCGATGAGTGGAACGAAGAGCAAGAAAAATGCAAATGTGCGTGGCCTGACACTGCAAGTTGGCGAAAAACCTGACTTGTACCACTTAATCACTTCTGACGAGCAAACGATTAGCGCCTGGTGTGATGGCATTAATGCTCTGATTGGTAATTTTTTATAAACTTATTTTGATTATGTCAAATAATGGAATAAAAGATAAGGGATTGGTCTAAGTGTCATGTGTATGAAGACATGTTAGGATGCAGTCTGTGTTTCATCCCTCAGTTGTAAACACGAGCCGAACTTTGCTTGCGGGTAGGAGCGGGAATCATCAGTGCAACCTCCTACCTGCCATGTACTAAACAGTCATACGACTGATTTGCAAACGGATATGGGAAGGAGAGAGAAAACAGAAAGAGGGAGAGAGAAGAAAGAGAATAAAAAGTTTATTCATAGTACGGACAGTCATTGTCTGTTATTTATGAGCCAGCATTTTTTATGAGGACGTTGTGCTGATTAGGCTTTTAATTCCTGAATCATCAGGAAAGAATCTACTGAATCAAGATCGAATCCTGAAACGAAATCTTGTTATTTCATCAATTCATACTATTTCATTTTCCTTGTCACTGGCAATGTTCCTTTTTCGACTTCAAACTCATCACTTTCAATAACTTTATCGAAGTTGTCAAGTGGATACTTGTGTCTTAAAGATATCCGTCTCTGTTTTGGCTTTACTTCGCATTTGGCTCATTCTGCAATTCGCTTTTTCTGCAACAGCTAATTTTTGTGCAGCTGATTATGTTGCGTTAAGTTGCTGTTACAGCATTTATCCCTTTTTTGTATGTTCCATTTCCGCGATTGAATATGATTTTTGTTTTCTTTTACAGGAGTCGACAAGCTATCAGTTCAGGCACAGCGCCAGGTGGATCGGTTCTTAAATATCGAGCTGAAAATGAGACTGCTTGAATTAGACCACATTCCGAATACAATCGAGATACCTCCGTTACCGGCGAATTTTGATTGGATCCCACGTGATGTCGACCACTCGAAAACCTCCATCACAAAAGTTTGATATTTCGGTTAGGATTTGTTCCACCGTAGAGACAGAAAC